TCAAGGAAGAGTACATGTACATGACAACTGCTCATCCAAAATTCCACGGAATATTTTTCAAACGCATATCAAAACTAAGGAGGATTAAAATTTGATCCCACAATGATGTGTCCTGTAAACTTTAATGAGCTAAAAAGTGCCAAAAGATGAGTTAAATTATTCAAATGTAAATATTATTAAACAGTAGCACATGCGCAACTTGTTGCACAATTTTCCCTCACTTCCTCCGTTTTACAATAGCCGTTACCGACATATAATTCACAGCGCAAATTGTTCCATTTATCACCCCCACCTTCAATCGCATTTACACAGTTTTCTGTAATAAGATAAACAACTTTTAATTTGTTTAAGACCTCCGATGTGGTTCTAAACATTGCTGTGTTTGATAAGATTGAACATATATACGAGAATAATTGTGTCAAACAGTTTAAGGTACAACTTCAGTGTCCATTGCGCAGTTAGTTCACGAATCCCTTATGCCAAAACGGAAACTGAATAAAACATCAATATTTGTTGATTATAAAATCCTTTGACTCGGAGAGGCTGGGTTCGAAACCCGGCAGAATCTATTTTTTCATTTTTCAACTGCCTCCAATACATTTTCTTGATCTCTCCTTATACACCCTATGCAGACAGAGCCTGTGGGAAATATTGGGTGGGGAGCAAATGAGCGGAGGGTGCGGAGGGTGCGGAGCTAACGGTCATTTTTGAATTTAAATTTGGGATATTTCTGGAACTAAGCCGTTTTGGGACTTCAAATATACCAAGATATGTGTATTTGACACCAAATATCAATACAATTGTGAAAATAGTAGCGCAATTCATTCTATAGCGACGCAGTGTGCCTTAAACCTTTCCCAGACCTATATATTTTGAAATTATCCTTTTAATACTGAGTCCCCAGCATTCATAAAAAATGGTGTTCAAGGTACACTATCTATACAAATTATTTTTGCATCTTGGAAGCCAGGCAGTATCAGTGTGATTTTATAAAAATTCGGAAATGTTTTTCAGATATGAGCCCCCTCTAAATATTGGGTGCGGAGCAGCTCCATAAACGTAGCTCCGCACCCAATATTTAGAGGGGGCTCATATCTGAAGAACATTTCCGAATTTTTATAAAATCACACAGATACTGCCCGGCTTCCAAGATGCAAAAATAATTTGCATGGGTAGTGTATCTTGAACACCATTTTTTATGAATGCTGGGGACGCAGTATTAAAAGGATAGTCTCAAAATATATAGGTCTGGGAAATGTTTAAGGCATACTGCGTCGCTATAAAATGAATTGCACTACTATTTTCACAATTTTATTGATATTTGGTGTCAAATACACATATCTTGGTATATTTGAAGTCCCAAAACGGCTTAGTTTCAGAAATACCCCAATTCTAAATTCAAAAATGACCGTTAGCTCCGCACCCTCCGCTCATTTGCGCCGCACCCAATATTTCCCACAGGCTCTGTCTGCATAGGGTGTTATATGACTCATGTTGATCTACAAAGACACTTTTGACCATGAGATTATATACAATGGAATAATAATATCTTAAATTGATTCATAATATTCAATATTTTTGACATAAAATCCTAATTGTGTAATTTTCTCTAGCAACGTTAAATTAAAACATATTTTTAGAAATAAGCGAACGGTCCATCTTTCTAATTTTCTAATATGTGTATAAGTGTATAAAAAGTGGGTCGACACTAAAGTTCTACCTTAAGAAAAATAATTTGTCCAAATTATTAATCATGAAAGGTTAAGATTAAAACTATCTGCAATTTTGCATTTTAGTATTTTCTATACCTTTATGTGGATTGGCCAAAAATAGCCAAAGAAAGATATGATCACAGGCAGGTATTGAAAAATGTGTCCGCTGTGACATAGCATGCTAGTTTTCACAAAAACATTAAGTAACTCACAATTGTTTTTATATCATTTGTATCTTTATACACAGGGAGATATGCTGATCACTCAATTAGTACAAAATTAGTGCTAAATTAGCACTCGTGGCATGAGTGCTCATGAGCGCGCTTTTGCAAGAGTGTTAATTCATTACTAATTTCGTGAAAAATAAGGGTTTAATTTAGTACCGTTTTAGTAACGATATTTCAAGTAATGATAAAAATTGCTCATTTAGCACTAAAATATTGTTCATTTACTAAATAATGAACACTCATTCTAACTGGGATACAATTCACATGCTATCTTCAATTTTGTTATTTAAACTTTGTGACTCCTTTATCAGCTTATAACTGTAACATATGAGCCAGGCCACGGGAAAAAGGGTCTTATCACAGATTTTTTCAATATTCTTATTTTTTGTTTCTATTAAAAAGCACAAAGAGACCTTTCAAATGAGCCATGACTTACGTTTTAACAATTTCTCCTTGCATGTATAGACCAAAATGTCGGATTTGAACTTAGCACATTTTCCTCTTAATCTTGGGCACATTTTTTGTCTCTGTAGCACAATTCTAATTTTTGTGATAAGACCGGTTTTCCAATGCCAAGGCTCATATATAGAACTCACATGCCTTGTAATTTTATTATTTTCTCATTTAATACAACCTCATCTTTCACTTGTTCTAAGTAACAAAGCAGTGTATATATATATATATTTGCACTTTCCTCACGAAAGGAACAATATGGTGTCTTTCGTTTTGTTTCCTAGCTTCAACCCGTACTCATAATATGAGCAGTCATTGAGTAATAAAAAATCAATCAGCTATTTCATCACTCATGATATGTGTACTCATTTCTACTAAAACATGCACTTACTCATGACGCATATCAAAACTAAGGAGGATTAAAATTGGATTCCACAATACTGTGTCTTGTAAACTTTGATGAGCTAAAAAGTGCCACAGTTGAGTTAAATTATTTAAATGTAAATATTATCAAACTACTCACTAGCCGACTTATCACACTGTGTGCAACTAGTTGCACAATTTTCCATCGCTGTTTCTATCGTCTTACAATGGCCGTCACCGACAAATTCTGTACAGTACGCCTTGTCCCATTTATCATCCCCATCTTTAATCGCATTCACACACTTTGCTGTAATAGAATAAACAACTTGTAATTTGTTTGAGAGCCCCAGTGTTGTTCTTAGGGGAGGCATCAAAAGATCAATGTCTGATAGAAAACTAAATAAATCTAGTTTGGGGGGAGGGGGTCAAAGCTATTTCAGTTTGCTATCCGACAAATTTCAACATTTAAATTTTTCGCAATTTCGACTCGAAATGCCTTGGAATGGTTTAAAAATAAAGACTTTACCAGATGCCTTCTTCACCAAGATGCATGCAACATGGAATATTATGCCTATTGTTGTTGGCACATGTTTTAAGAATCATAAATAAGTTATAGTACTGGCCCCATGAAAGTCCAAATTGAGTCGCTAAAACATGTGAAAAGTCCGCGATCAACTTTCATTGTATTTAGTTTTGAGGGGGAGGGGGGGGGGTCCAACTCAAAACTAGATTTATTTAGTTTTCTATCAGACATTGAACTTTTGATGCCTCCCCTTAACATTGCTTATTGTGTTTGATAAAATTTAAACTACGAGAATAGTCATATTGTTTTAGTCATATTGTCTTGTGTCAAACAGTTCAGGTAGAAAAATCAATCATGACATTTTGATACATCAACTTGAATTTTATGGCATCAGAGGAACAGCTAAGTCCTGGTTTGAAAGCTATTTAAAAAACCGTAAACAATATGTCACCATTAACAATAATGAATTCAGACAATCATCTCTAAATTGTGGTGTTCCGCGGGGCTCGGTATTTGGACCACTATTATTTATTCTTTACATAAATGATCTGCCTATTGTTGCCCCTAATCTAAAATTTATTATGTTTGATGATGACACCAATCTTCTTGATAGTGACTATAATTTAAATGAACTTAGGGCGAGATCTAATGCAAATTTGTATTCAATAGATGACTTGATAAAAGCAAACAAACTTTAAATTTATATTGGCAAAACCAATGCTATTCTATCTGGACCCAAAATAAATCAAACAAATCTGAATCTTGAAATACGCAATGGGAATATAAATCTTCGGGGAAAATTGACTTTCTTGGAATTATTATTGATAAAAACCTGAAATTTAAAGAGCGCAAAAATCCGTTATATACGAATTATGAAATAAATTTGTTTAAGTCATATTGTCTTGTGTTAAAATTTAAACAGTTCTGTTAGAACTTCGGTGTCCATTGCGCAGTCAGTTCGCGCATCCCTAATGGTGTATTCCAAAAACGCAAACTGAATAAAAAATCTAAATTTGTTGTTTAAGGATTCCTTTGACTTTGAGAGAGTGGGTTCGAAACCCGGCAGAATCTATTTTTCATTTTTCAACTGCCTCCAATACATATTCTTGATATATGACAAGCTCATAATAATATTTTTCCACTGGTTCATAATATTCAATATTTTTGAAGAATCTGAATTGTGTAATTTTCTTATTGAAAGCAACGCTAAATTAAATCATTTTTTTAGAAATTACGAACCGGCCAACCTCTCTAATTTTCTAATGTTTGTATTACAACAGGGTTCTATAACAGAAGCTCTTTCACTTAGATTTTTTAGTCAAGAAAATCTGAATTGTAGAAAAATTCGGTCGGCAATGAAGTTCTACCTTAAGAAAAACAAAAAAAACAAACAAACAAACAAACAAAATGATTTGTGCAAATTATACTTGACTCCAGACAATAAATTTTTCATAAAAAGTTAACCTCATTGGAATATCGACTCTCTTATTGACTCAAGAAAAAAGAAAATTGTAATTGGCGGGGTAGCATTCTCTTGACCACTGCCGAAGATGACCGAAGATGACCGAAGATGACCGAAGATCTATCCCAATCCTTCAAGGAATTTGTTTGCTACGACGTTGCGATTGGACTCTGGTCGATTGGTATAACGTTACAGATATCAGGTATTCTAATACTAATTCAAACGTTCCCCGTTATGTAGTGGAAGCGGAGCAAACAATGCTTACCTATTGCGTCTCTTTCTTTTTCTTCTTCGAGTCCTCTTTCCAACTCAGTGAGCAGACGCTTTAAAAGCTCGACATCTGAAAAATAAAAGTCAAAGGACTGTATTCATTCATTCAAAAAGGTCAGATAATGATTGCGAAAACATCGATAACGTTGTTGTGAAAGGCATTTTAAACCTTAAATTAAACATAACATGTTCTCATGATATTATTGATCATGTATTTTCATTTTGTAAACTAACTCTGTCATATTTGGACGTTGGTGTATATAAAAACATTTTGACAGAGTTTGGAGATTAACATTGTACACAGCCAGCGGAATTGGACAGCATCTTTTCCATTCAATCAAGGTTGGGCCATGCAGCCGAAGGTAAGCCATACAACCGAGTTTTGCCGATCCAATCTGACGGAGAATGCCGAGCCTCTCTTTTTGACCAATTAGAGACGTCCAATCTCCGGCTTTTCTTGAACTACACTGTACATGTATCTTCGGTTGCCTCTCTTTTTGACCAATTAGAGACGTCCAATCTCCGACTTTTCTTGAACTACATGTATCTTCGGTTGCAAGCCAAAGGTTGACACCCCCAGTGGAATTAATGGAGTGATCAGTTGGGTAAGTCAATATAACCGTTTGAAGCCCACGGAGAATCGTCTTGAAGACACAGTGTGCATAGCAAGAGAGCCAGTATGCCCAGGATGGCATCGAAAGTGTTTGAGAACTGGGTGAGAACTTTTTAGAGCTATCGTTGGTGATCGATTTACTGCAGTGTTCATAATTTTGAGTGATAATTGGCTCGTGCTGAGGCAAGAGCCATATCTCACTTTGGTTTACTAGTAAGAGATAACGACAATGGACTGAGGTTTAAACGTTAGTTTACTAATAGAAAACCTGATGGGTTAATATTTATTGATGAAAATGAGTTAATTCCTCGAGCAAAAGTTTAACCCTAAGGTGTAAGTTTATAATAAAATTGCGTTAGAGCGGGTTTCAAACGACATATACGCAATTTTACAACAACACCAAGGAGGATTGGCTCCCAGGATCGAAACTCGATATTTTCCAACAATGAAAACGTCGAAATGTCGTTATTTTCTGAAATTAAAACCGACTATAAATTCAAAATAAACAGTTCAAAAGATTCGAACTAATATCTCGATCATTTCTTGTGAGTTTTGGAATTTTTCGTTTGGAAATAAGACCAAAATCCACGATTTAAATGTTGAAGTGAACAAAATGGCGGCTGTTTGAATTCGAATTTTGTATTACGACATACCCATATATGGGACAGAATATCGGTGGTGCACTCTGGGAGCCAATCCTCCTTGCAACAACACCATGAACACTGCACTGATTTTCGACAACATGATTTCCTAAATACGACAGAAATACGAGCGACTTCTTGATTTAGAATTGTGAACAATTTACAGCATTAAAGAAACTCCGAACATTTAACTATTTTATTAACATTAGGCCATCAGCTTCGCCCCAAAATTTAAGTTATCGGTATCAAGTTAGGGGAATAATCACCTTCGTAATTTTTGGGAAGTTTAAGACCTGTAGAGTAAGAAAATATGTGATAGCATTGCATCAGTTGTAGCTTTCAAAATGGCCGCCTGTGCACATGTTACAATATAAAAGTAGGTATATTTAAGCATACTGATACAAGAGCTGTGATTTAAGGACCTATGTTTGCATTTTAGGGGTCAAGGATTTCATTTGTGTCTAACTCGGAGTCATCAAATAATTTATTTTCATAGAAATCCAAGATGGCTGCCAAAATGGGTGTCAAAACGAATTTGTAATTATTAATTTAAACTAAAAACACTTAAGAACAGTGAATTTGGAGCCCATGTGTACATTTTAGCGGTCAAGGATTTCATTTATGTCTAAATCTTTGAGTCATTAAATAATTGCTTTTCATAGAAATCCAAAATGGCCACCAAAATGGGTGTCAAAACGAATATGTAACATCTGATTTAAGCTAAAAACACACTATAGAACAGTGATTTTGGAGCCCATTTGTACATCTTAGAGGTCAATGGTTTCATTTATGTCTAAATCGAAGTCATCAAATAATAACTTTAAAAAAAATCCAAGATGTCCGTCAAAATGGGTGCCGAAACGAATATGTAAATATTGATTTAAGCTCAAACATTTGAGAACTGCGATTTTGGAGACCATGTCAACGTTTTATGGGTCAACCATTTCATTTATGTATAAATCCAAGTCATCAAACAATTACTTTATATAGAAATCAAAGATGGCCACCAAAATGGATGCCAAAATAAATATGTAACTATTGATTTAAGCTCAAAGAACAGTTAAGAACGGTGATTTTGTAGACCATGTTAATATTGTAGGGGCCAAGGATTTCATTTATGTTTGAATCTAAGTTGAAGCCATCAAATAATAACTTTTTAAAGAAATCCAAGATGGCCACTAAAATTGATGCCGAAACGAATGTGTAAATATTGATTTAAGCTCAAAGAACAGTCGAGAACTGTGATTTTGGAGACCATGTCTACGTTTTATGGTTCAACGATTTCATTTATGTCTAAATCCAAGTCATCAAATAATTACATTTTATAGAAATCCAAGATGGCCACCAAAATGGGTGCCAAAACAAATATGTAACTATTGATTCAAGCTCATAGAACAGTTCAGAACAGTAATTTTGGAGACCATGTCCAGGTTGACTGGGGTAAGAATTTCAATTATGTGTATAACTAATTCATCAAATAATTCCTTCATTTGGACATCAAGAAGGCCACAAAAATGGCTGTAGAAGTGATTATGTAACTTTTGATATAAACATAGAGCAGTTAGGACATTATTTTGGGATATCATTTCTACTTTGTGAGGTCAATCATTTTAATTTTGTCTTAAACAAAATCATTGAAAAATTTATTTATATGGATGTCTAAGATGGCTGCCAAAATAAAAAATTAATGTAAATTAAAGATCACTAAGAATTTTTGAAACAATGTTTCGTAGTTTTTGGTCTGCTCTCATTTTTACTGCCTTTTTAAGTTTTTCATGTGTGTGAGACTTCTTCCGATACCTAGCCTTGCTGCAGTGCATAGTGCATATATGTATGCATATTAGTTGTACACTGTTGATTCTGATGCTTTATTTCGAGATGATCTTTTTGTGCATAGGCACTGGCACTAGCCCCTTCGCCTATGCTTTCGTCTACTTTTTTCTGAGTCTCCATGCTGATCGTTTTCATGGCTGCCACACTTTCCATGATAGATAATTCTTGGAAGTTAAATGTCTTTCACCTCTTTAGCAATGTCAAGAATAGGATCATGGTTTTACACTTTGGCTGTTTCAATTAAAGTTTGCTTTTTGAGCTTAAATCAAATTCATTTTGGCACCCATTTTGGTGGACATTTTGGATTCCTTTATAGAGTGATTGTTTGATGACTAAGATTTATAACATAAATGGAATCCTTGACCCCTAAAACCTGATCATGGTCTCCAAAATGACTGTTGTTAACTGTTCTCTGAGCATAAATCAAAATTTACCCCCAAAACATAGACATGATCTCCGAAATGACTGTAGTTAAGTGTTCTTTGAGATTAAATCAATGGTTACATATTCGTTTTGGCACCCATTTTGGTTGTCATCTTGGATTTCTTTAAAAAGTTATTATTTAACGACTTCGATTGAGGCATAAATGAAATCCTTGACCCCTCAGATGTACACATGGGCTCCAAAATCAATGTTCATTGTGGCCACGTGGCCATCATGGATTTCTATAAAACATGATTATTTGATGACTGATCAGATAAAGACATAAATGAAATTCTTGGCCCCTAAAAAGTAAACATGGGCTCCAAATTCACTGTTCTTGAGTGTTTTTGAGCTTAAATCAATACTAACATATCCATTTTGAAACCCATTTTGGTGGCCATGGCTCAAAAATCACGGTTCTTAAGTGTTTCTATAGCTTAAATCAATAGTTATATATTTGTTTTGGCACCCATACTGGAGTTCTATGAAAATAAATTATTTAATGACTCAGATTTAGACATAAAAGAAATTTTTGACCCCTAAAACCTAGACATTGTTTCCAAAATCACTGTTTGAGCTTAAATCAAAAGTTACGTACTTTGATAGCCATATTTTCTGACTGATCAGATTAAGACATAAATGAAATCCTTGGTCCCTAAAACGTAGACATGGGCTCCAAAATCACTGTTCTTAAATGTTTTTGAGCTTAAATCAATAGTTACATATCAATTTTGGCACCCATTTTGGCAGCCATCTTGGATTTCTATAAAAAGTAATTGTTTGATGACTTAGATGTAGACATAAATGATATCATTTTCTCCTAAAACCTAAACATAGGTCCTAAAATCACAGTCTTTGCATCTCAGTATGCTTAGATATACCCACTCTTATATTGTAACATGTGCACCAGCGGCCATTTTGAAAAATGGGTGATAACACCCATTTAGCTTCAACTGTTGCAATGCTATTACATATTTGCTCTAGGGGTCTACACCTTCCCAAAAATCACTGGTGATTATTCCCCTGATTTGATACCGACCAACCGCCAGGCTGATGGCCTATATCTTCGGAAAACGAGAATCAAATTGACCACTTATTGATATGTTCGGATCTTTTCTAAGAAATCCAGGTTCTCAGACCTTCACAATTTAAAGATCTTAATCAGTTCAAAATGTTCGGATCTTTTCTACTTTGCCGTTCGGTAAATTACAACCGCGTTAAAAGTAAGCATCCCTATTCATCAATACAATTCATTACAACACTGCAAACATCTCCTTCACACGAGCCTTCATTTTTTAAATGATCTCTTGTTTGAGCTGATTTGATTCTTATCTTGATTTTGCTTAAGGTAGTGCTAAAGTTAATCAAACTGTTTACTATATACTGGACTACATACTGGCACCCTTACATATACATGTATGTTACTGTACATATTGTAGAATTAGCCCATAAGAGCTTTGCAAAATCAACATCTTATACTATCAACCTAATAGACGGCTTGTCCAACCTTACAGGCAAACTATTATAGACAAATTTGAAGATAAGACTGATATTGTCACATTGAATTATGATAATAAGTTAATAATATTTTTGTAATATTTTGCACCGGTATAACCATGCCCAGTAGAATAATACACACGGTTACCCTAAATTGTAGAAACATGAATATGTTTCTCATAAGTAATTAATTCATATATCCCAAGGATTTCACCCCTTGCCTTCCTGACCAAACCTTGTTTTATTTTTGATTTTTTACAACAAAAGAAACTACTCTTTTTGACATCTTATCATTTTTATTTCCATATGTTATTGACGTGAGAACTCAAATGATCAATGGGAAAACAATGCTAAACTTGCACACTGAAATAGGTATTCCAGCAGGCCTAGGAAAATATGGCTAGAAAAAGATGCAACACCTAAGGGCTACAGGTGGACAAACTATTCCCCCTGAAAAGTATTTTAAGGGTCAGATCACTAAATTCATGATTGCATTGAAAAGCTAATTTTCAAGAATGGATGTATTACCAAAGAAGAAAATATGTAGAATTCACATTGTTTATTTCGAGTGATTCTTTAGTGTCAAGTTTTGTTTCTATTGACAGCATGTTACTGAATATCTCATCAAGTGACCTAAACTACAGCAGCTAAAATAAGCATACGGAAATATTTTAATTCAGTACGATTCGGAGAAGGATTATACAGTTATAAGGGATTAGCAATTTATTATCTTACAATTTAATTCGATTCTTGAATTTGAAGATCTACTGCTATATTGTTTAATATGCATTATAATAGATCGATTTGAT